ATGTCTCTTTAAGCTTCATCTGACTGAGCTACTCTTTGATCTCAGCTGTAGATCAGATGTCCACCTCGTCAGCGGACGGCGGTGATGAAACCACCAGAGGGGACATAACCACATCGGTTCCAGAGAAACATCTTAAAGCTCCGTGTAGAAACTCAGAACCATCCACGACCTCACAGCAAACTGAAAGTGGATTCCAGCCGACCATCTCCTGCAGACCTGATGCTCCATCAGAAGAACATGGGTGTGACCCGCTCCTCTCATTTGTCAGTGAAAACACTGCAGCACTGCAGATGAACCACGGCGGCTTTATTCAGCGTGCCGCCCAGGATTGCCCTCCATTTGCAGAACTGGTTTCCAAAACTGAAAAAAGTGAATCTGCTTCTGACAACAACAGAGAGAGCGGTGATGATTATTCTCTCCATGAGAGTTCCGGTCCTGAGCAGGTGAAGCGTTGCTCCACGGATCCACAGCATCCAGATGGTTTCAGGTCCCCTGATATGGACCGACTTTCCCATGGATCTATGAATAATCAGGAACATTCTGAGTCTCCACCAGACAAAGAGAGCACCGCTGAGGTTCCTCTGCTCTCTGACCTCAATCACATGCCATGGGCCGCCCCTGAGGAGTCAACAAGGCCGTTACCCAGCAGGACGGGTAATGGATCCATTAACCTGGACCCTGAAACCATGACTCATGATACACGGTCCTCAGCTCTGTGCCGGAACCCGATGAGTCAAACATCTTCAGCTAAATCCAAGGCTCTCCATGTTGGACCACAGTCTGGAGGTTCTGACCTAAACGAGCGGGTCGTAGAAGATCAAGCTGACTCAAACCCAGACGCTTGCTTTAAATCTCCTGGTGGTTCAGAGAGTCCTGCAGAAAGCGATGAACCCAAACAGCAGATGGAAAATGGTTCTTTGATCCGCAAAGCTTCAGTTATTCAAAGTATCAGGTCCGCTTCAGTAGAACCAGAACAGACGTTCAGAAGTGAAAGCCCTTCTGAGACAAATGTGGCCTTCAAGCAGCTCAGTAAATTCCAGCCGGTAGCATTCATGTCCAGCTTCCTGAACCAGAACAAGCAGCCTGAGGTGAATAGCAGCCCTGAATCATCCAGGACCGGTAACAGGAACCCAAACACAACCCGGCATGGACCCACAGGTGGAACAGAGGAGAGCCATTTAGCTTCCAGTTCATCTGACATTGAGGAGCAGCCGCCCTCGCCCATGACTCAGAGGACATTATTACAACTCCAGCTGTCTCCTCTGCCTTCTCTCACCTCACCACCACTAAGAGCCGCCAAAGACTCTAAAAGCAAAGCCTACTCCAGGTTGGCCTCCCAGCTTTCTCCCATTTCCAGAGGAGAAATGACTAACGGCAGAGCCAGAAGTCAAGGCTTGAATTCCCTGCATCGTGTTAAAAAAGCTCAGCTAACGGCAGCAAACGGCCCAGAAGCAGGTCTGGGGTTAAAGTTCAGCTCTTCCAAGCTAAACGGTCCAGGACTGAGTCTTTCCAAAGACGTCAGCCTGTCCACAGACTGCAAGCCTTTCTCTGTCCGACATAAAATCAAGTCCTTCGAAAGCTTGGCCCACTTGGATAGACCTGTAGCCAAAAGCAGCGAGGTCCACACGTTGGCGGTAGCGTACACCGCTTCGCTCAACCAGAGGATTGCTGGATATATGGACCTGGTTAATTCTGTGCATTGGCGCGGACAGCGAAGGAACAACGACCCTCTGACAGCAGCAGCGTCCCTCCCACCTCCTCTAAGCAAACCTGCTGAGGATGAAGCTCAGAAAGCTCCAAATGGGACCATGACAAGGACCCCTCTGGTGCTACGAAGGAAACATGGCCGCCTTCCCAGCAGGAAGGTGCATCAGCTTCGGGCCGTCAGTATGCCCGATCTGGAAACGCTCTGCACCGAGAACTTCAGCCTAGGGAATAAAGCTGCTGATCCCAGCCGCCAATCCGCTACTGCGGATGACACGCCTTCTGAGGACGTACCTCAGGGGCCCCCAGAGGCCGAGAAGTATGGCTGGTCCATCAGGTGAGAAGCGAAGTTTAGAAGAACCTCTTCAGTTTGATTTTCTAGTAGTAATAGGATGTATGAAATAAAAATATTACACCTACTCAGTAGGAGACGTTGGTTACCTTTTAAGACTTGAATTATTAGAACAGTCAATAAAAGTGATATTTTAAGTTGGTTCACTTAAAATAAATGCATCAACCGACAGGAAGCTGATGTAGAAGGATAACAGACAACAGCTTCATTCTGTGTTCGGAGTAACGATATATCACTTCTAAACGAGCCCCAGTTCAGACTTTTAAAGCGTCGTTAAGCATTATTTCCATTCTCAATTGAGTTTTTTTATGTATTAAAAAAAAAAAAAATCAAATGTTTAGATGTTTGACTCGTCCAAAATGTGTCACGGTGTGAGAGTGGTGGTCTGTTTTGATGAGGACAGTCTATGTTGCAAAGCTCTAGTTTTTTAGGATTCTAGCCAGACTTCAGACGATGCATTTAATGCTGAGGGCCGACGGACTGCGGTCGGGTATTCCAACTCCTTTTTTTAATCAAATAGGAAAAAAATATATACTATAGACACACCGTAAGAGCTGTAAATACAATAAAGCAAAAACATATTCGATTTACATTTGATCACATTTCTCATTTAGTCAACCAAACGTTAAAGGATGAATTTCCTTAGCTAGCATTACTTTATTAGCTTGCTTTAAAGTTTGTTTGCATATACAAAAATAAATAATCTAGGGCTGAAACAATTAATCTGAATAATTGTGATTAATCGATTTGAAGTAATTTAGTAATTGCATAATCTTTAACTGGAGTATAGAGACTGTAAAATTTGATTTTAATTGTCAGAGCAACCTAATTAGAGCTGTAATAACATCAAAATTTTAAAAAATATATCAACATTTTTCATTTAAGATAAAAAAAAATATGATTTTGCTTGTCAATATGCAATATGCAGAATCCAGAACCCTGGAAAGGTTTTAGTTTTTACCTGGTTTAATTTGGTAAAAGATCTTCCTTAAGGAACCTTTGGCTGTCTGATTATT